TAAGAAACCAACGCAACAAAATCGTGCATGTTAAAAAACGAACATTTTTGTGGATGCTTACGTCAGGATTGCAGAAATGCTCGGTAGATCGTACGTATCGGTTCTTTGATAAGCAAGCCAAGAAAAATAAACCACGCTATGCTAATGAAACCTTTAAGGATATCGTTACTGGAGAATATTTGCTGATGAAGGAAAAAGAGCAACTAAGCGTTTTCAAAGTGTACGGATTCAAATATTTAAAAGGAAAAAAACAATCATACACTCTATCAACTGTTCCTACAAAAGCTCCTGAAAATGTAGCGCCCAGAGGAATAGGACTACTGGGCAGCAAATTCAAAATAATTGAATGCGATGGAGACTACGTTTTAGAATTTACAAGCAACAATGTTGTTATAGATGTGAAACACTATGTATCTCATTTGCGGAAGCCGTCTGCCCTATCCGCATTATTCTATTACCCAGAAGAGTGCGTGACATACATAAATAGCTTCAAGTTAAATCTAAGTTAATTTAAAACCCTGTACTGCAGTTGTAGTATCAACCGTGAAGTTATACTCCCCGAAATCATCATAATACATATTCATAATTACTCGTATTAAAACTCTGAAACAATTTTTTGTAACTAATTTTATTATTTTATTGTTGAACCATTTTCCGAATTCATATGGATAAATAAAGACAGATACTACAGTAGATGGAATAATTTGGGATTAATAAGTTTTTTTAATTCTGTAAGTTTATCGTCTCTTCAATGTAGAGTTGACTGTGATGTGACAAATATTATAACATCTACTCACATATGCTTCAAATCAGTGAGCTTGCAGCTCTGAGGTGCCGCGGTCTAGAACAGTTTGTTTCTCGGAAATTGAGAGGATTATAATATGTACTGTAATAAAATAATTATTGGTATATTTCATAGCGCCAATACTCAGAAATAATTAATTTTATGAGCAGCATACAAAATTTTATATAGTAGGGGAAATGGATCTAATGTCGGCCTAAATGCCCCTAATTTGGGCCCATAAATAAATTCAGCAATCGACTAAATTGTCAATAGCGACCAAAAATGTCTATTAGTACCGTCCCAATGACGCGTTCATCTAGTTAAAATTGATAAATAGCAGATTTTTAAGGATGGAACCAATCTTAGATCCATAGGCCAACATTAGAGCCATTTCCTGTATATGTTTAAAAAATGAAATGGTTTAAACCTTCGGGAGATTTCACTCCATAAAATGGAATCCTATAGAACTGTGATCTAGAACTTTAATTTCAATAGAAACCCTGAGAAAACAAAACTTTTAAACGGTCATACCTAATTATTCAATTCTTTCAATTTAAATTAAATTTAGGTAGCCATACATAATGCAGCCGAATCCTAAGTAGGGGAAAAGTTGGCTTCGGCAATACCTTAACCTATTATCGTCAGGGGGGTAAACAACGTCCTTGAGAGTTAAATCTTGGCATGTAGATACATTGTGTTTCAGAGCAACTATTGGCCAAATTTGAGTGCTCTAGGACTTTGTTTACCCCCCTGACGATAATAAGTTATGGTATTGCCGAAGCCAACTTTTCCCCTATGTAGTTTTTAACGCTTGTTTTGCAGAATAACTTTGCGGGGTGGGATGTACCATATAGAGATACAGGTGTTGTTAATCAGGCATCATCTGCTGGTTGGTTTATATAACACACCACATGTTATCGATAGGAAAACCTAGCAGGCTGGTGATCCAGTACAGTAATAGACCTAAGTGGATGGGAAGAATTGTCTATTAAAACTTGTGGTTTTCCATGAATTGAGCATTTTACGAGACATTTATGGTTAAATTCATGAATGAACGCATAATAACGTCATGTACAAAAACAGCGTTCCAAAAATGTTTAAATTTACATCTCATTGTAGAACCCTAAACTGGCAGAGGTTTTCATTGGCCGGTACTCGGTACACTAAGGATTCACGTTTTGCTACGCAGTGGACACTAGCTTCCACAAAGCAATTTCGTAGCGCTGAATTCATTCGCTCTTAAAAGTAAAGATTCTTAAAATCTGTAATACTAGAGCTTCCAGAACATCAATTGGCGGCACCATCTCTATTTCCGAACGGTCCGCTTTAAACTCACAAATCTTAACTCTGTTGTCCCACCGAAATGTAAATAAACACCTCCGGCTTGCTGCGTCGTCTGCTATAGACCTTTTTGACGTTTAATCGTCTTTCTCTATCTAGCACACAGGGATGCCTGGATGGTTTGTTTTCCCACTGATCTGTTTCCTTCTTGCTCGCACTGCTTTCATTTAAATGGAGCATTAGTGTGCGCCGGTTAAACGTCAAAAAGCTCTAGGTTGTTTGTTCGGTGATAGCTCGATCACGAGAAGATTCGAGCATGCGCAAGTAGATGGTAGTAGATGCCACAGATGCAAACAGATGATTTACGGTAAATAAATATAAAAAAATAGGGCAGATTCACGCTGAAAATGAGATAATCTGGATGTGTCGCCCCCCTCGCAAAATATCTCCTTAAAATTCTCTGCCCTGAATATCTGAGTATTTTTTTTTCAAAGAATTAATTTAATTGCCTTTAAGTTCTACAATTTTTCTTAGGCTTATAATCGCTCACGGAACTTTGCCTTAAATCAGTAATCTTCCTTGGAAAGTCCAACCCTGAAGTTTTTTATGCTTACCTTAATCTCTCTAAATTGATCAAATATTCCGGAAAATTTACTGATATGCATTTATTGTTCTCTGAATCTTCTAAAGTTTTCAGATCAATCATAGAATTCTCGGAGCATCCCATAATTCCAATAAACTCCTTGTTAGTCACTGCAAATTTCTTTAAGTTAATGGGATTTTTCAGATGTTATCTCATCGTCCTCGAAATACTCGGAACTTCACTGAATATAATGAAACAATCTTAAAATATCTTAATTTATTAGCAGTTGTCTGGAATTTCTTGAAAATATCGGTGCTTGCTAAAAGTTATTTTTTAATCAATCGAACTTCGTTGATGTACTCTAATCAACATAACTCAGTTTTTGAAATTTTTTAGATCTTGAAATTTCCATGATTTAACACCCCTGAAATACTGACACATTTTCCGGATGTTCATATAGTTTTTATTGTGTTCCAGAAATTTTCTGTAAGCAAACCGAAGTCTCCGGAAATTTCTGGAAACTTCTTTAAGTTTTCTGCAATTTCCTTTTTAAATGCCCTTTAATTCTATGACCTGTCTTGATATTCTCGGAGTTTCCCTAAAGCTCTCAATTCTAATGAAGATCTCGAAGATGAAGAATTCTCTGGATTTCTGTGAAGTTCCTTAAATATTTCTGAAGTATTCATAAATTTTCAGAAAATCTCTCTACTGAATCTCTCGAAACATCTTAAGGGTTCTCGATTTCATTTCAGCACATCATGGAACTATCGTGAATTTGTCTATACTAACGCTTAACGATGCTAAAGTTTCGGGGACTTTCCCTTAAGATCTGTGGAATTCCCGAAAGATCTCTAGATCTAACTTTTCTAAGATAAATAGAACTTATGAAAAGTTTCCACAATTTTACTATGACGAAAATTGAAAACATTTTAAATGTTTTGATCTTAAACTTACTAAAATGATGTAAGGCTGTTTCTTTAAAACTGATGGTCATGTCTTAAAAACGTTTGAGTTAATTATTGTTGTTGTTGTTGTTGTTTTACAAAAAAAAAACGTATTTCATAAATTGCTTTTTTATTATAACTTCACTTCTTCACAACTTCACCTAGAAATTATCCGCCAAAGTTATAGAAAAATCTGGAATAGTCAAGGAACTTTATTTAGTCAAAAGAATAGAGACCCTGTAGATGAAAGACGATTAAACGTCAAAAAACACTATACAAGGTCGGCAACTTCAAATTGTTCAAAATTAGAACAAAATGTAGGCCTATCCTACACACTGCAATAAGAATGACCACGCTTGAAATAAGTTCACGCAAAAAAAAAAAAGTTTAAAATAGTGACTGATTACAAGAAAAAGTGACTTTAGTGACTTGGCCTTAAAAAAGGAGACTTTTTAGTGACTGGCTTGAAAAAAGTGACCAAGTCACTAAAAAGTGACTCGCTACCAGCCCTGCTTTCGTAATCCAGCTAGACAAAGCTCATTGAGCCACATGCAACATTTTGACGTTTTAGTTTCTTCACTGGAAATCGACCAGAAAATTTAACTTGATACATCGGCCGGAGATGAACCAGCGTCTGGCTGAAAATCTCCTTAATAAAGACAACCAACCAACCAACTTGATACAGTTTTCTATATAGTTGGGAAGATCTATGTACTATTGGGTTAAATTGCGCATTAGTATGAACAAAAAATCAAATAGTGAATAGCCAAAAACTTCATCATAAATTTGCAATAACCTTGAAGAAAATCAGAATAAAAACTTCCGTTGAATGTTACAAAAATTCTGTTTCGTTCCGGGGGGTGCTCATCAAGTTCGGAAAAAATGTGCCGCTCTTATTGCACTTTAATGGCAATTAATAACTTAACGCTGAGCATTAATTAATGCGCAAGAATCGAATTCCTAAACTCACCAATCCCTAACTAGTTTAAGTGTGAAGTCAGCCCATTGATCGGACAACACCAAATTACCGAAAAGTTAATTCTGAACCACGCCCTTATCCGCATTAATATCACTATACAGCATGCTTGGATTCCTTCATTCATATCTCTACCGCTAAGCGCAGAAGGCACACTTGCTTCGGGCAACACTTTATGGTGACACTCAAGCAATCAGGTAAAAAGCACCTTCCAGGCAAACGAACGAGCAACGACAAAGCTGGGAAACCACAATCCTGATTGATCCCTTCCACCTACAATCGACTTCCCTAAGTAGTTTATGACGGCTTTAAGTTCTTCTAGCATTTCTCAATGAACACCAACTGGGCTTACCTGTGGATGATGATTATCTCAATGTACAGGACAATTTCTTTTCTTTTCATTGATTAAAATATGCAGTAATCTTGATTCCGTTGGTTCCAAATAAATCCTTTTTATTCTGTTTCACACTTAAACATAACATATCAGTCCTTTTGCGTTGCAACTTAAACCTACTATATTAATCGAGGGAACAGGTATTGCGCTGGCGTCTACTTAACTAAGGACATCACAATGATTCGAACTTCGATTCCGCACTTATTTTCCCTAACTCTGCCGACAAAAAACGGGGAACGAAAACGCAACTGTACCGATAAATATTAGAATAATAATCTAACAACTTCCTCCGAGGTCAATGATTTATCTCTCTCTCTCCCTCTCTCTTCATATCAAAATATATTGCAGAAAAATAAACTCAAATGGACAGTAATAAATAATCTTCTACTTACATAAATCAACTCTCTAAAGCTCCAAAATAGGGCGATCTAACCCAACACCATGGCGGAATCCTTGTGCGGATCGAGCATGTGCACTTCCGTCGGCTGTTGCATTCCACCCGACGATACCAGATGATGATGATGGTGGTGGTGATGCGGTGCCGACGGCGTTTGATAACCCGGCGGCAGGAAGTAGGATCCGGGTGGTAACTTGCCCATCGGCATCAGAAGCGGATGCATCCCGTACGGAGACACCCCATTGGAGGCGGCAATGGCCGCGGCGGCTGCCACCTGCTGCTGGTGATGGTGATGGGCGGCCGCGGCTGCTGCAGCGGCAGCGTACTCGTTGAATGCCGCTTGCTGCTGGGCTTGGATGTGCTGGCTGAGGTGTAGGGATGCGCGCAGCTGCTCCAGATGCTGAGGATCCGGAGCGACGACGTTGGGCGGTGAGCTGGAATAGTCTTCCGAGTCGGATGAAGAGCATTCCTCCTTGCTGTCGGAATCATCGGAACCGATCAGACTTTCGATGGTGAACAATCGCTTTGGTTTGGTAACTGGAGAGGAGGTGACGGCGTTGGGCAGGTTCTGGAATCCTCCAAGGGCTGCGGGTTGGGGTTGTTCCGGAGACTGGCTGGTTGCTCGGAGTGCTTCCGGTGGTGAGTGAGGTGGCGAGATGGGTGTGTAGAGCATGTTTGGGTTGATATTCTCCGGCATGGGTGCGTAGTGAGGGTCGTGGTAGTAGGCTCCCTGTGACATGAAAAATCGGTTCATGTTGGCCAGAGCGATGAATTCTTCGTTGAGGCTTTCCTTGTCGCCGTCCTGCAGCTTGAAGCGCTTGCGCCGTCGGAGCAGACTACCATTCTGGAACATGTCGAAAGCCTTCGGATGCAGCGTCCAGTACGCACCCTTGCCAGGTCGATCCGGACGCCGGGGGACCTTGATGAAGCAATCGTTGAAGCTGAGGTTGTGCCGCAGGGAGTTCTGCCAGCGTTGAGTATTGTTTCGGTAGTACGTAAACCGATCTGTGATGTACTTGTAGATGTCGTTGAGGCACAGCATCTTCTCCGGTGAACTCCAGATGGCCATGGCGGTCAACGAGATGTACGAGTACGGGGGTTTCTGATCCCCGTAGGATTCACGTGACGGTCGAGGCATGGTTGATCGATGCACTGAAGCACTGAATTGTTTGTTCTGCGTAGCTCGGGAGCTGATCGCTTAATAGTTTATTTGCACTTTGGAATAATCACTTCCGCAGCTTTCACTTCACTTTTACTCCGAATAAGCCAACCATTAATTAACCAGTGGTTGCCGATGAATCGATAATACTCGAATTATAGGGAGCACGATCCGTTTGAAACACTTGCTCGGTTGAGACTGACACAAAAAATCTCCGACCTAGCAGAGGTGAGCATGAGAAGCTCAGAGCGGGCAGAGCAAAGACGCCTTCTCACTTCAGCGTTTGGTTTTCCCCGGCCTGCTTCGAACGGCGTTGAATGAAGCGGGAAAGAGATACCAGCCGTGCACTCCTGCTTTTCCTCGCTGCTGCTGCTGCTGCTACCACGCTTCATTCATTGAACCCAGCAGGGACCAACACATTCACAGTCAGTAGAGAGAGCAAACATTTCATCAGAAAGGAAAATGGATTCTCGTTATGTGCGACGGAATGGCATGATGGTAGTGGTAACCTTCCGTGCAATCGACCATTCACGGATGCACCCTGGCAAAAGGGAGAAAGCGTGATGGGCGTGGCCTATGTGCTCGCTCTCCTCGTTACCATTGCGGAAACCCTCGAGGGGACGACGCTCATTTATGCCTACAAATATTTATCTTCTCGCTGCTTGCGCGCTGAGTGTGTGCATGAACAATGTACATAACAAGATGTCTTCTTGTTTTATTGGTCGGCGTCGGGTTCTTAATGCGACGGGACCGGATTAGCGCGTTCTCTCGGTTTGCGGTTTTGCGCGTGAAATGGAGAAGGCCCCTCGATCGACTTTTCCCGGTCGTCTTCCTGCGGCGAGAGAATCGGTTAAATAAATTACATGATTAATTATGAATTTACGTTTTATCCGAGGGGATAATGATTTGTAGAAAATTTAATGATTTTCGGTTTCCACCGGACTCGCTCGGTGGACGTTCAGGACAAGCGTGGGGATGTTCGGGATACCTATGGGGGTGGGTTGGTGGCAGGAGAGGGTCTTCCGATGAAACTGGTTTTTATTACATTGCGCTTTTCGTGCCAGGTCCGATTGCAAGTTGACTGTGAGTTGTTGTTTTGTTTTACAAACTTGTTTCGAAGCAGGAGTGGAAGCTTTTAAACGCTTTTATTTGAATTATGTGGTAATTACCCATAAATTTAAAATCAATTAGCTTTTTTGTGGGCAAACATATGTCTGAAGTGTGTTTTTTTTTTGTAGAGTAGCATTCTTTAGCACATGGGGCGATGCGAGGGAGGTTAGACGGTTGTTTTGAACATTTGTGCTAGAGCCGTTAAGAAATTGTTAATCAAGTTGCAGAAATTAATTCAGCAGGATTACCTTTCTACCTACATAAAGGAAGCAGTGCACAAAGTTATTTTAAAATAATATACCGTTTCATTCATTCTGTCTGGAACTCGTTCATAGAACAGGCTCAGACGCCAACAGGCATCAAGGTTTTTCCAATTTTTCATTCTACAAATTCTACCATGCATTTGGAAATCCCCAATTCCTAATCCGTCGGGTCGTTGGCAAGACTCTTTCCTTCGTCAACTGGTGCAACGATATGCGTTGATAGATATAGGTAGAAAACAGTAAACGCGTTCATTCTTTTTCTACACTACTGTTACGTTGTAGGAAAGCATGCTTTGATACTATTCATTTACATATCTGTGAATATGTATTTTAATTCTAAAGGGCCACCCACAATAGATCCGTTTGCCTTGCGTAGACGTAAATTTGACAGTTAGACAATAGATTTAGCTGTCACTTTGCTGCAACGCGTCAGATCCAGATCTTTTATTTATTTGTTTGCGTGGAGGTGAACCAGCCTCCTAAATAAAGATAAATCAATCAATTATTTGTTTGTCGTTTACGTTTTACAATTGTTGCCTAGAGTGTTTCAAAATAGGTCAAATCTGGGATTTCAAACGCTACCCTCTGGAATGGTACTTTTGGGGGTCAGAAACACCCTGCCAAAATTTTAAGTGATTTGGTTCACGGGAACCCCTCGCTCAAACGGCTTGAAGTTTGTATGGGGAAAATCGACAAAATGTATGGGGGAGCGGGCCACTTTCACATTCGCGGCTCTAGGTGGCGCTGTAGTGGGTCGATTTTCTTCGTGTACAAAATGTAGCACCTTTGGAGTATTGGGAACATCTTGGCTGAAGGCTGGATGTGGATCCGAGTTACCCCCGAAAAGTTAGTAGCGTTTCAAAGGAACACCACCTGCTTTACTTCTGGGGAGGGCCTAACGCGCTTGTGCAGTTTTTATTTTTACGAACAGGTATACGAATAGCAATGTTTGCATAGGTATAACTTTTTTGTTTAACCATGAAATTGGTTGAAATTTTCACAGTGAGTAGAAAAATGTTCGAAATTATGGTCTACTAAAAATTGGAACAGATTGGCCAAGTGGTTCCGGTTTTATTCCGGGTTTCTGAGAGGCCATCGGGGGGTGAAAAGGTACTAGTCATCTAGAACAAGGTGATGCTGAAAATCCACAGCAACAGGCATCTATGGGTAGTGCTGATTAATATTTTAACAAAATCAACCCATAACCTGGTTCTAAATACTGAGCGTCCACCGGAAGGCCTTCCGATGACCCGGATCTTCCTTAATCTGGATTATTATGTATTTTTGATCAAAGTATGCCTTGATTATTCTCTGCAACTATATGAAATGTAGTAAATTATTGATTTTAGATATATAAGCGTTTCAATGGCTCCAAGTGGTCACCAGATGATCCGCCGGAAGATCCGAAACATCCGTAAAATTTAGTGATACATAAATTCGATCAAAGTAGGCCTTGATTTTTCTCTGCAACAATGAGAAATGTTGTAAAATGGTGATTTTTGATATGTTAGCTGTTCAATGGCTCCGAGTTATCACCAGATGGTCCGCTGGTAGATACGGAACATCCGTAAAATTGATTGCTGTGTAAATTTGATCAAAGTAGGCCTTGATTTTCCTCCGCAGTTATATGGAATACCGTAAAATGGTGATTTCTGAAATATTAGCTGGTCATGGTCACCAGATGATCCACCGAAAGATCTGGAACATCCGTAAAATTGGTTGCTAAGTAAATTTCATCAAAGTATGCCTTGATTTTTCATTGCAACTGTATATTATGTAGTAAAATTATGATTTTTTATATATTAGCTGTTCACTGGCTCCAAGTGGCTCGCTGAAAGATCCGGAACGTCCGTAAAATGTATTGCTGCGTAAATTTGATTAAAGTAGGCCTTGATTTTGCTCTGCAACTATGTGGAGTGTAGTAAAATGGTGATTTTAGATACATTAGCTGTTCAATGGCTCTGAGTAGTCACCAGATGGTCCGTAAGAAGATCCGGAACATCCGTAAAATTGATTTATGTGTAAATGCTATCAAAGCAGACCTTGCATGTTCCTTGCAACTAAATGGAATGTAGTAAAATGGTGATTTTTTATATATTCGCTGGTCATTGGCTTCGAGTTACCACCAGGTGGTACAGAAAATACGGAAAATCCGTAAAATTTATTGCTGCGTAAATTTGATCAAAGCAGGCCGCGAATGTGAAAGTGGCTCACTCCCCCATACATTTTGTCGATTTTCCCCATACAAACTTCAAGCCGTTTGAGCGAGGGGTTCCCCCTTGAACCAAATGACTGCAAATTTTGGTAGGGTGTTTCTGACCCCCCATTTGAAATTCCAGACTTTGACTTTCCCGATTTTGACAGCCCTTCTCAAATTTTAGGCTGACTTAAACGAGAAACTGACAAAATCGGGAAAAAATTCTTACAATTTTTTCGATCAAAATTTTTACAGCATAATGAAATTGTTATCGGGTAAGTTGGGGTATTTTGCGCCAAGGGATAATATGAGCAACAGCGCTTATTTACGTGTGTTTCAAAACAAATTTAATGGGTTTCCATCAAGAATTACTAGAAGAGCTGCAGAACTGTCATCTGCGAACATGCTTAAATATTTTTTTTTATTCAAAACAATTTTACATAGGCGAAATGGCTCTAATGTTGGCCTATGGATCTAAGATTGGGTCCATCACTAAAAATCTGCTATTAATCAATTTATCTAGATGAACGCGTCATTGATTCGGTACTAATGGATATTTTTGGTCGCTTTTGAAAATTTAGTCGATTGCTGAATTTATGTATGGGCCCCAATTAAGGGCATTTAGGCCGACATTACATCCATTGTAGGGGAACATCTTTCCAAGTTACAATAAATTAATCCAATGTTTAAACTCTTTCTTTACTAGAGCTATATTATTCCACCTCTTCTCTCGCAACATTTTAGTAAAATCATATACTGAACGTTTTTCACTATTTGACAAATTATAGCTTATGTCTCGAGCAACAAGTCATAAAGCTGTTTTACTTTGGTGTTATTTTGATACGATAGTTCTGTTTAACATTTCTTCAGGATCGTTAACTGTAATTTAAGGTTTTTTTTTACCATTGTTTCCTTTATCCAAAATAAAATTACTTCATTACTATTGGTACTTTTTACACGATGTTCTACTGTGTCTACCTTACCGCATAATGTGCATCCCCATAACTTTATAAACCAATAACTTAGTTTTTGTGAGAACGATGTCATTGGAAACTAAACATAAGCTTTGTTTCTCATTAGTGCAAATAAAGTGTTTGCCTATGTTTGACCAACGGGCTTCCCATTGTAAATTGGAATTTCAGGTTTAATATTTTGTATATTAATTAAATAATTGTAAATCCTATTGTTTGATACCAAATCATTGAAATTATCGTCTGCTCCGTTAAAAACTTTGTCAAAATACATAATTTGTCAATTCATAAAAAAATAAATCATAAGACCAAAAGACAGCTTTAACTTGTGAAATGAAATGTCTCTTAAATTCTGTAAGTGTAGTTGCACGTTCAATGTGTCTGGGCATCGCATTGAAAACATTAATTCCTTTAAAATATAATGAATTTTGTGAAGCACAGGTCAAGAAATGTGGTATTCTTATTTCGTCCGCGTTTCTAGTATTATATCTATGAAAATCACTTCCCCTTTCAATTCGGTAACACAAATATCGAAGCAGTAAACCGTTAACTACCTTAAAAATGAACACCATAGTAAAATATACATTTCTTTGCTTCATCTATAACCATTTTAAAGTGTCTAGCATCAAAGTTGAGGAAGTGA